TCGTCAGCGCCGCGGTGCCGTTCGCCAGCGTGCAGTTGAGGGTCGACAGTTGCAGAGGGATGGACTTCGTTGGTGGGGCAGGGTAAATGAAAGAGCCAGTACCAGCCCAAAAAGCCAAGGTGATCCCAGCTAAGAGGCCTCCAAGAGCACCCTGGGCAGGTGTAGAAAGATGCTGTTAAAGGTGATTCGCCAAAAGTGCTTTTCTGTGAACGTGAGTTAGGCAGGAGTAGGTGATGGTGGTTTAATCTATGTCAGTGTAAATAAATTCTGTTCTCTTGACCAAGGAACAAAATGTGGAGGTTTAATGCCCTCTAGGTATAAAAGTTGAAGCAAAACTGTGATCAGAGCTGTGATACAGATTTTAGTTTTACTTCTGGTAACCGTGATGGGAGTGCTGATGGGGCAATATGGAATGAGTTCGTGTTGTGTTTTGAGTGAGATAGCAAAGGCAGAGCAACTGACACAATTCTTTGTGTCCCAAGGCTGAGGGGAGTGCTGAATATTTTTTTCTTCTTAGTGAAACTTAAAACCAAAAATAATAATAAAAAAAAAACCCTCATGTGGATCTAATCACCAATTATTCCACAGCTGGGTAGACTTAAATTGAAAAAGATAAATTCAGACAGGGAAAAGGCACAACTAAACAGATCTTAGATCCTCAGGCTCTAAATCTGAAAAGCAGCCCAAATTAAAAACCCAAACAATTTTCAAGATGGAGTTTTAACCAAACGACACCAAGAGATTTTCTTTTAGATCAGGATTTTTTTAAGCTTACCTTCCAGTTAGCACAAGGAAACACGATTCCCAGTGTAAATATTCCCAGCATGGGCCCCCCACACATCCCGTGGATGGAGAGGGAAGCCTGTGGGTGCAGAGAAGAGAGGGGAGTTCAGGGCAGCAGCTGAGCGGAGCATGCACAGTTCTGATTTCTGTCTGTAATTTTGAGTGGGAAAATGGTGAGGGAGAAGGGATAAGCAGTGATTTCAAGGCACAGTTAAAGAGAATCACACTCAGTAGCATTTCCTAGCAGTGACTAAATAATGAAGGAGTTAGGGGATTTATGATCTTTTTCTTTTTTTCCTAGTTATTCCTCTTATCAGAGGGTCCACTGAAACGGTTTAGGTAATGTAGCAGCCCTCAGAGCTGGCAGCATTATTTGTTCAGTTCACTGCATTTCTGTTCACTCCTGTTCTGTTCATTGCATTTCTGAAGCAAGAAATACCTGCACGACTCCTCCCATCAGCGACGCTGCTGCAGCCATGGAAGTGCACAGGACGCCGTATAAAACACCTGGAAAAGATCAGGTAATGAGGTTCTCAGTGCTGGACAATAGTGGGGGCAGTTTCTAATTCAGTAGTGTCTGAGGTGACCAGGCAGCACTGGGGGAATTTGCACTTTGGGTTTGATGTTTAGAGTGGACCATTAAGCACCCAGCAGTGTCTTGTGTGAAGTCTTGTTGGGTTTTTGGCTGATTGATTTTTCTTACAAAGCAGAGCAATGGCAATGAAATTAATTTGGGAGTTATGCCTCATGTAGAAATATTTCTATTGCCTTTAAATATCACTTTTAAAATAATCTAGTAATGAGTTGAGAAATGATGGTTTTCTTCCTTTGACACCAATTTTAACTTTGTGGTAGGCAGAACTCTCAAGTAAAGCCAACTAAAATGGTCTAGCACACCTTGGTAAAAATTCTAGGTACAGAGTGAAAAAAACTAAGTAGTAAGTGGAAAAACAGAAATGGAGAAGGCTAGAAACAGTTACAGAGATACAAAAGATATTGGCTTGGCCCTTCCGCGATGTTTATGAACATTAATAAAATGCTTATGACATGATGGTATTCATAAAAGGGTTACGATATGAATGCAATAATATTAAAAACTATCCTAAAAATTCAAGTCACTTTGATGCTTGCTATGTTGATGATCTGGGATTTTTAAATTTTTTGTACGTATTTTTTTCTCTGAACAGCTGAATAACCTGCTTATGCAATAACTCTAAGCTTGAATAGAAATTACTTATTGTATTGCTCTAAAAGAATATGCAATACTACTATAGACTAATGTGGTAATAACTACATTGATATTCTTTCTGTGTCATAAAGAGTGTTTTCCAAAATTTTCAGTAGACCAAACTTTTCCAAGGATTTTGAGTAGTTGTTGATGCTAGTCTATGTTTGTTCCAGTACCATACAGTGCTGGTACTTCATATTGTTGAAGAATCAGGCTGACATTCACCTTGGGAGTTTCTAAAGGGTTGCATTCCTGTGGAGGTTACCAAAGCACAAGTGTTTCTGAGGGAATGTCTTTACACAGTGCCCTTTGCTGCTGAAAAATGGAACCCCTCTAGGGTACCTACATAAGCCTTTGCTGATCCACGTGCTCATCTTCTCAGAGAGGTTTGGGAAACCTTTCTTGACCAAGTCTTCAAAGGTAACAGTTGCTAAAGCATTGATGCTGGCTGCTACAGTGCTGTAGAAAGGGAGAAGGATGGTAAGTAAATAGAAAGCAGTGTAATCTGAAATCCAATTGTATATATAAAGAAATGCTTCCTCTTGTTCAGCACTAATGCTCCTCAAGAACTGTATGTTTTGTGGTGTTTTTCATGTGTGCTGCTGTAGCTGGGGAGGTTTCTTTTACCTCTGCAATTGTGGAGAGCTCTGCTTCATGCTGGCATGGAACGAGACAGAAACTCATCCTATTTACAAATCTCTAAAGACCTTCAAAATATAGATGTTCCAGAATTAAAACTTTACTCTCTTATGAACTGAAATATGTGCAGTTACCACTAGTGCTACCCTGGTCCTTCATGAATGACCTGGCTTTAAGCTAGGGGAATGAACCCATATTTGGTGAATACAGTCACAGATAGACTTGCTGAGAAGATTTATATCCTGACTGTGATATTGTGGCAGTTAGCTTAGGTAAAGACAATTTCACCATGAGCAGCTCGGTTTTATTTTGTCTGCATTGATAATATTATTCTAAAACCTATTTGGGATATAAAGATACTGGCGAAGTGGAGCTAGACTGTGTCATAAATGTAATCACAGAATCTTTTAGGCTGGAAAAGATCTCTAAGATCATGGAGTCCAACCATTAACCCAGCACTGCCAAGTCCACCACAAACCATGTCCCTAATGTCTACATGTCTTTTAAATACCCCCCTTTTCAAATACCCCCAGGGATGTAATGTAATTCAGTGAAGCACTAGTGCTGCTTCCTGGAATGTTCTAAGAAAAACAGCTGGGCTTTTTGTTAGGGTTTCATGTTTTAACCTCATTCTTCTTAGAAATCATCCTACACAGCTAAAATGTCATTTCAAATTCACAGACCTTAGTGTTCCACTGAATGCACAGGCAACAAACAGTCCCGGGACTCCTGGCATCGAAGAAAAAATGTCCATGACAAAGTAGGGCATGAGCTGGGGCAGAAGGAGCACGAGAGCAACACAAGAAATTAATTAAGGTTTTCCTGGGTAATGGAAGAAAAGTAGCTGTTTCTGGGCATGTTGCTAAATTCTGGCATTATCTCAAATAACATGGTGTCAGATTTTGAGCAAAGGGGATGTCTTTTGGTAAAAATGCCCATTTGGATTAGCACTGCAAAAGCGCCAGAATAGGTATTATTGTAGCCCTGATTTGGCAACCAGCCTGAGTGCTGAAAGGACATAAAGCATTGCACAAAATTTGAACTGTCCTGATATATGCTATATCTGGGCCCAAAGCAGCTCCTAATTATAGTAATGGACATCTGTACCTGATCAGGAGCTGAAATGAAATCAGCAGTCCAAGGGTCACAACTCTTGTAATGAGAATACATCACCAATCCACAGAATACTGCACAAGCTAGGACTGTCCAAAGTCCCAATAAATTCAGGTAGAGTGCCCTAGAGCAAAGGAGAGAAACTGTTTAATGCAAAATAACAGCAAAACTGTTACAAGTTATTTATTCCAAACCTTTTAGGGAGATGCTTTAATTACAGCCGGTTATCTAATTCAAAGCTGGCTGTATAATTCAAAGCAAGAGTTTTAAAAAACATGGAGAATTACAGCATCATTATGCTATAGGGCAAGGATAATGTTTCCAGGTAACTTTGTACAACTGGAAGAGACCAGTATCCTCTATGCAGAATGGGCTGCACTGAGCACTGGGTCTTCACTCCTGTCCCCTGTAAGAGCAGATTTTTGCCTGTTGGGAGTTGTTGTTGCTGTTCACCCGTTAAGGCACACAGAATACTTTTTTGGATGGATTCTGTCATGTTTCACCATGTGAAGTAACAGTCTCAGTTGTTTTTCACCATCCCTGCTGGGAAAGTTGTGTGGCTGCTGTTCAGCAGGCCTGCAGGTCCCGAGAGCTGCCAGATTTTACAGAGCCCACACTGCGTTTGAACATCACCTTATGCAAGGTCTCTTGCTAAGGCCAGTTCAGACCTGGGACCCAAAATACTTTCCCAGCTTCTTACTAGTGATGTTCTCACTGGTGTGACTTATAAATGTTTTTCAGACAATGAATTTTCTGCAGGATAAATTCATATGGACACACACAACCTCAAGAAAAATTAGTATGTTTGCAGCCAGCAAAAAGGCTAACTGTTTGAAGAAGGAAAAAAGTAAGAACCTTTATGCATTAGGCATGTGTGCAAGCAATTAGTGCTAGATGTGTGAAACAAATCTGGTTGTTTAGTAAAACATGCTACCGCTGAAGTTGATTCTGATTATTTTTATGCCATAGAATTTTAATAAATTATTGATTTTATTTTATTTAGATAATACCTTGTGCTGTAGCGCCCCACAAAATCAATAACCACTTTTAATACAACTTTAACACAATTGCAATAAATACACTTTTACAATTAAGCTGTAGATAGCACAATTTCTGTGTGGGCATCTTTGCCATACTCTGCTTCCGGGGATTAATTTGGCTGACCACAAATTGATAAACTGCAACAGATAGACAGCTATCTCTTTTTCTTTCTGCATTTACTTAAGTCAATTAGAGCAAGGGGTAGTAAGACTGTCAGAGCAAAATTAGCTTGCTACCACCTAATGGGATCCCAATTTTTACTTAGCATAGCTGACAAACTTAGTGTAATTCCACATCAGTATGCTTGATGGCAGGAATAGGTCAATGACAGGCAGCTTACAGTTTAGCGTGCTTTTCTGATTTGCAAGAGATGCATCTCTGTATCGTGGACTGATTGACTCCGTAGATCCCCAGCCACGTAAATGTTCCCCCAATAACTATTGTCCAGATGGTATGTCGTCTCAAAGGATCAGTATCGAAGCTAGAAGAAAGAAAGAAGCAACTTAGTTTGCTTATTTAAACATTTATTAGCAAGAGGTAGGTGATTTTTTTCACGATTATCTGGCATGTCCTGCCATCTGAATCAGAAATTCTGCATTGGCAATACTGTCCTCCAGCACAGACAACATTTGATGTGTTTAGGTTTGGAAGTTTTATTACTTTTATATTGGAACACATTTTTTTCACATCAGGATAAACAAATACTATTCAGATTCAGTCAGAGGACCAATTAATTAAATTAATCACATTTATGAGGCTGCTTATGCCCAAATATCAGATCTGCATCATATTGAAGCAACAGACCTACAAGCCATCCTGCCTGGAACACTGTCCTCTGCTAGGAACAAGGGCACTTAGCAAACTCTAAAAAAATCCAGCAAACCCTTAATAACACATCATGATGACTTAAATTCCCTTACAGAAATTGCTTCAGCTGCAGTGTTATCTCTTGTACAATGAAATTCCATTACTCAGTAAATCTAACTGGTACAAGCATATCTTTCTGTCTTAAATCTGTCATCTTTGCAGTTCTCCTTATCTTGGTAGGTACAGCAGATAACATTTGACCTTGCTGCTGGATTCTGTCAGTGACTTGCCTTGATTAATGAACTTTTTAGTCAATGCCCTGAACAGCCAAAAGAAGGTCAGATTTCTATCCCAGTGCACCATTGCTAGCTGCTGTGGTGAGTGCATGTAAAGCAAAGTACTAATTTTAAGAAAGAAAATGAAAGATATATACAGATGGAAGGAATAATTTGGCTTCATTTGTAGCTACACAAAAAAAAAAAAATGGCAGAGTTCCCCTTCAGTTCAGCAGAACTTTGATTTCTTGAAAGAGTTAAGCTCTCCCGAGGGCCAACTGCATTGCCAAGAGCTAAAGAAATGAGGAATGGATGTCTCTGAATCACCAAGGTTCACAGAATCACAGAATCACAGAATATGCTGAGTTGCAAGGGACCCACAGGGATCATTGAGTCCAACCCTTAGCCCTGCACAGGACCATCCCCAAGAGTTACACCATGTTTTTGACTTAGTGAGGGTAGGGTTTCTAAACATTAAATATTCAAAAAGGGGAAGTATTGCACCACTTGTTTCTTACTCAAATATGTTTAGTCGTGATCCTTCATGGGCATCTTCCCAGACTTTGGTTGATCCACCATTCAGACTAGTTCCTCGAATCAAAACCGTCAGAAAGCCAGCCACCATGACAATCATTTGAAATGCATCTGTCCAGACAACAGCTTTTAATCCTCCCTAAAACGAAGAGAAACTGTATGCCCCCAATCTTCTTTCCTGTTGCTTGAGTACTGCAAAATGTAGAAAGACTCCTTATTTCAACAGCTCACGAGCTGTATGCACAGCACCCAGCAAATCAGGACTCTTTGCATTCTCCTGTGAAGGCTGTATTTTTGCAGGTCAGAAAATTCCACAGCCTGAATAGTTATATGAGAATACCTGACTTCCAGTTAAATGCTTTTTTTATGCCTTCTTTATATGCATTTGAGGAACGTATCACAGGGCAAAAATTGGGGAGTTCTGGCCTGTTCATGCATCCTGTCTCACTCTGTGTGTTCTCAGAGCCCGCTGGTGCACAGTTAGCCTCACACAGGAAAATAGCCCCAGAAAGTTTGCCATTTAGCTTTCTTCCATAGCTACTTTCATATTTGATCAAATATGTACTGTTGCAACATAATAAGTGATTTCAACAAGAGTGGACTTAAATATTGAAAAAATTCATTAGTGGTAATGAGAACGGGAACTAGGTTGTATCCTGAGCCCCAGGGCTCTGCTTCTTCACTGCCATGTTTATCTGTTTTGGAATTTGGAGTCTCATGTTGCTTCCACTCAGAAGCAATACTTTCCATGACCTGTTGGTTGTCCTTCCTAGGTTTTATTGCTCTGTTCTTGATCTGGGGTAACACCAGAGGCACGTTTTTCATTACAGAGTTTTTCAGCCTATAACTTGTAAAAGATAAGAATCAAGTCTTATCAAAAGATTTAGTATGACAGGGGAAGGTTATCGCCTCCTTATCTGGACTCTGCCTCAAGCTGTCTTGTTTAAACCTTGCAACATACAGCAGAGGATTAGACAGGATTTTTTTTTTCTCCAAATAGACTTATTTATACCACATAGTGTAGAAGAAATTTATCTCTGTGTTCTCCAACTTTAAACTTCAGTCAGACTGTATGTGGCAGACACCCTTCTGCCATAGTCTGTCATGTTTAAAGGGTGGTTGAATTAACCATTTGTGTTCCAGCTGTTCAGTAAGGCCTGTTACATACCAGAGTGCAATAGAAAGTGCAGACAATTCCTGTTGCAGCTACAGAGCCCCAGAGATCAAATCCAGTGACTGCAAAACCAAAGAAAACCAAATCATTAGAGAAATCTGAATAGAAACAGTAGAGCTGTAATCCTTTAGCTTTAGAAGGATAGGAGTAATTATTAATTTTAATCTTTTGTGTCTACTAGGAGCTTTGCTGGATTGTTCAAGTTTCTTAGAACTTCTGGATACTGTTATGCATTGTTGTCCTCTTTCAAATTGGAATTAACTAACTTTCAAGCAAAAGTAACATGTAAGAAGAATACTTGCATAAAGCAAAAGTGTCATTCTGATGGGACACAGCATTATAAGCAATGCTTCCCTTCTGTTCCCTAGACCGGAACTTTTTCTGAGAAACCAAGTTGTTCAGAGAATCCCAAAGAATCCTAAGACAAAAACACCCAACCCCTAAGTAAATTCCATTCCCTGCAACTAGGAACAGTTTGATGCTAAAATGTGCTTCAGTAAAACGAATTTTTTTGTTCCTTTTGCCTCATAAAGTTCCTTTACACAAGACACACAAATTTTGGGTTGGCTGATCTTGAAATCTCTCCCACAAGGCACAGTTTATGAGAGCAAATATATTTTTAAAGGTTCTCTTATTAGCAAAGTTAGTATGGCATAATAATGAATTTGAACTCTCACATGGAATTCCTTTGCACACCAGAGGAAGGAAGTTTGGTGCTGTATGAGAGGAGCGATTGGACAAACCGGCTGCGACTCAGATGATGAACAATGAAAGCAGCCTCACAATCTCTTCCCAGTCAGTTTGGGTGAAATCAGGGTTTGGGTCATGATGATTCCTTGTGCCCTATGGCAGTAAAATCACTGATCCCACCTGTGGTGATGGGTACTGTATGCCTAGCTTGCAAACATTATTTGAATAAGTCTGCAGACAGAAAGCAGCACAGCACTGAGCTCCGGCTACACGGAAAGGAGTTACTCCCACGGAAATCAGAACACAGGAGACAGCGAAGGGGGGAGTCAAAGTACAGGGTATGGTCTTGGATCATCAGCTTGTACTGTGAACTTTGTCAGGATGTTGGGAAACTGTTTGCTGCGAACCTCTTCAGGTGGTTACTGAGTGGAGAGGACAGCAGAGCAGCAACAGCGAGGCTCCTACTAATGTATGGGTGTGAGAGGGGTCTGGGGGGTCAGAAAGGCAGAGATGTGGGGTGGAGGCAAAACCTGCTTACAGAACTTTTGGGGAGAGTCGGGTTTTTGTGTTATTTATCAGTTTTCCTCACTTCATTTACTCTGATTGCCTTGTGGTGTGGTTATTTGGGGTGGCAGTGTAGTGCAGCATGGGAACTCACCTTGGTTGAGTGCCAGTGATGGAGCATAGACCACTATTCCTGTGTAGAGGATCTGAAGGGGAAAAAGTCCAATAAAAAGTCATGTATTTGAATGCTCAGTGATAAGGCTTCTATTTAGAGTGGGGCTCTGAGCAAAACACTGGATCTAGGATGTTCTTTAGGTCTGCCTGTATTGTATATGTCTTTCTGTTTCAGCCCTTACAAAATAAAAATCTTTGGTTTAATTCCTTTCTGAGGGAAGGACAATTACCTGTCTTGGTATTACTTATTTCACCTATTACTAAGATGACTAGATGACAAAATATTGTCACCAAATAGGAAGAGAGTATCTGCAGAAAACACGAAGAGTGATGCAGAAATAAGTTGCATGGATCTCAGAAATTAAATTTTAATTTTTGCCTTCAATCCTTTCAAGTAACTGACTTAATGCCCTTCACATGTAAGTTCTATCAGAACTCATGGAGAAACAAAACATAAAGCTCAGTAGCATTCAAATCTATTGCTGAAGGTTTGGAAATTAATAAAATGGAAATCATGCAAAAAGAAATGTCTCCCAATATTCCACAACACAACCATTCTTTCGTTTTAGCATTCATAGTCCAAGTGAAAAAAACTAAGAAAAAAAGAGTAATGTCATTAAAACATCTCATTCTAAAAAATGTGCCCTCTGAGACTACTCTGTGAAAATCAATGTTGAGTGAAATTAGCATTAAAATGAGTCAATGTTTTCTTACCGTCTGCAGGATGTAGATCAGCGTTGCAGCAAGGCGGACAATCTTGTTAAATCTTAACTCCAAATACTAAGAAAAAGAGTAATCTCAGTAAATTGCACATGTGGCATCTGTGACACAGACGCTGTTTGCCCCAAGCTAACACCTTGCCATGCAAGTAAAATCACTGGCAGCTGGCACTGCTGTTATGAGTGATAAGGAGAGCAGGAGGACTGTCCTTACACATAGAGATAATTGCATTTAAGAAGTCTTCTCATCTGTACCATGTACTTGAAGTTCTAGCTGGGTTGCAGTACCTTCTTTGTATCAGGAATAACTGGAAGAGCCCAAGGGCTACAAAGGAGGGAAATTTAAACTTCAAATGAAAGTGTGTTCCAGCTATACAGTGAGGAAACTTAAGCTCATCTCTAGCAAAAATAGCATGGTTTGACTCCAGTACTGGCAAAAGTGGAGGTGGAGCAGATGGTGAAGCAGCAATGTGGAGTTTCCTAGTGCATGAGCTAAGCTGGCTTTCTCACTTGCTCTGCCTCAGCCTAAAGCCAAATCTGCACATCACCAATGTGAAAAGACAAGAGAGGGGATCTTATGGACTTCCAGGTGGATGTAGAGAGGTGTTCCCAAGTACCACACAGCTGCAGAGGTGAGCAGATGTCTAGACCCAAAAGCCCAGATTTTAAGCCTGAATCACCACCTGGAATCTCTCTGTGGAGTCTCTGTAAAATCTCTCTGCCCCTGTGACAGCCTCCATGCAGCCTGCCCTGGGCTGGGTTTCTCCTTGGGCCATAGTCCCATATCCCCAGCAGATACCTGGCATGGACTGTACAAGTCTTCTCTCTTTTACAAGTCTCTAGGCTATGCACTATGCATTATTGCCAAAGCATCTTCTTTCTAACTAATTTTGTTTGTGCTTGTCTTGTGCTTCTTGCATAATAAACCCTATGGTCTCCCATACAAATACATAGCTAGTTTATGTAACTTGACCTGTTTCTAAAAATAATTCATGAAGCCAGCAAAATCATCTTTTCAGCATACTTGAAGGGTCTCTCTTACTACAACCTTTGGTGTTTCAGATGACAAAAGTAATTAATTCTCTGATCTTGGATGAAAATCACCCAGAAAATGCAACCACTTGCAGCAATGGTCAATTTTACTCTTTTCCAACCTAAAAATATTTCCAAATACCCAGGCAGATCTGCTTGACCAAAGCCCTTCCTTGGGCTCGGGCTCAGAGAACATGAGCAGCCTTTCTGTTGTCAGGAAGCTCATTGTGAACTAACCCAACTTTCTTCATCCAATTCTTGCTTAGTTGAAACTGCTCACAAACAAGAGCAACTAAATTTGCAGCAGTTGATTAAAGTAAGTAAGAGGCTACCCCAAATGGTCAGTAGCTGCCCTGTGGGTGTGCAGGTGATAAGGGCTGCCGCTGAACTGCATTGTGAAGAAAATAATGTCTTCCAGAAAGAATGCCAGGCAAAAACTGTACAAAATTCATAAGTCATTCATTTAGTTTCCTAGAGAATTTGTTTTCCAACCCTGTCTTTTTTTCTTCTTTCTTTTTTATTTCTGGAACAGGCCTGTCATCTTCTTTCTCTTCCTCCCATCTCAGATTTTTCGATATCCAATAGTCCACTTTTATAGTAAATTGGATCAAATTGCCATATCTAGACTAAGTTTGAATTGGATAGTGTTGAATGTTGCTCTTAAACTCTGTCTTTAATACCTGCTCTCTAAACCAGAGGGGAATATTTGTAACATCACAAGCATTTGGATACACTGAAATATTTTCCAACCATAATTTAATTTGGTACTGGTGTGTAAACCCATACCCTGTCTGTGCTATATGTGCATAACAGGATCTCTGACCCTTATTTTGTGCTTTCAACGACGCAACATAAACAAATAGTTTGGATAATGCAACCAGTTTCTAAAAATAATTGATATATCGATGCCATTGTTCTGTAAAACACCGCAGAAAGTTTTCTGTCAGAGATTTTTATCTAAAAATACGTGCATGATGCTGACTTACGTTAGAACAGTGCCTTGATTTTAGGACTTTCACTTACCTCATAAGTGCTTGTTATGCCAGATCTGTAAAAGACAGGTAGAAAAAGCTCAGCAGTAAAAACGATGACAAGCGCGTATGAAAGAAAGAACAGCACAAAGGATGCCCCGTAGCGATAAACCTCGGAGGGTGTCCCCAGGACTGTTACTGCTGACATGAAGCTTGTTGTGAGAGAAAAAGCTATGGGTCCACATGTCATCTGCTTACCGCCCACCAAAAACTCCTTTGAAGTTTTTTTTTTCCTCTCTTTAACTGCAAAAAAGACTCCAATGCTGGCGCTGACCAAAAATAGTGCGGCAAAAACAACATAGTCCCAAGCCACAAATTTTTTGACTTCCGGAGCTTCAAAGTTTGGCATTGCACCAGTTGTACAATTCTCTGATGGAGGATTCTGGTTTACTATGACTGGTGCTCTGACCAGATTAACTCTGTTGACAGCCAAGCTGAAGCTTATCTGTAGCTCATCGATGACAAATAATAAACAACCAGAAGGTGTTTTTTAATCCAGTTCAGTTCTAAGCAGGGGAAAAAAAACGTAGCTAAGGATGAGTTAGGAAGGTGCTGAATGCACTTTGACTCTACAGCTACTAGTGCTTCTGCCAGGCAGGCTGAAGCGAGGGACTCTAGCTGTGAAATCTGTAGTACAATCCCTTTTTATCTATGAGGTATAAATTTAGGGTTAAACATTAGCCTGACACATTGACTTGATCTGACTCTTGTCTAACCTCTCAGCATTTTTAAATAATAAAGTGAGACAATAGAGAAATAAATAAAGGAGAGCAAAATGAAGGAAAGCTCAGGGTACAGACCTGTCCGCCTGCACCTTGGGCATACTTATAGACAAGAGGACCTAAGAAAAGCAGATTAAACAACAACACTTCTCTTAACTATGTCTTTGGCATAATTTGTTGAATTCAATTAATTAGGTTTTCCTTGTATGTTTTTGTTTTGTTTTAAATAAATATTCATTTTATCTCCATCAATGCTGTAACAATACCTTTTCCAAAGAAGCAGGAAATGACTTGTCATCCTGAAGGATTAACTTTTACAAGGAGGTAGTGGGTGGTAGTTGCAGCCCTGAAGGAAGGGTAGAGGGCATGTTTTGGAGAAAATCAAGAAAGAAATGAAGTACCCTGGGAGAGCTTTTAATAGCAGAAGTCGTTTTCTTCAGCCTTATCTTGGCTGGGGATGGATCCTCATTTCTCCTTCTTAAGTCACCAGTAAATGCAGGTGATTTTGCTGTGTCAGTCGTACCTTGCAAATTAGTGTGTGTCCAGACCTGAAACCTCAACTGTTCCCATCCATTGCTCAGGAGAAAGGGGAGTATGTGCACAGCAACTTCATTGCTTAGTGCAGAGCCAAAGAAACTCCAGGACAGCCCTCAGCTGGAATTGGCTTCTGTCCACATGTACAGGAGAGTAGCTGTGCAATTTTCGTGGCCGATTTTGGTGAGACTGAGTGTAAAAGGGGAGGTTGAAAGACCTCTTTCTACTGCTGAATGTGAACTAAGAAAGCCAAACAAACAAAAAACCCTGAACCAACATGCAAAGGTCCTTCTTAAAAGGCACTGCTCCATCTAGAGCTGAAACACTTTGAGTGCCCAGAAGTTAAGAATATGAAGTGCACATTTGTGATGTGCGACCCAGCCCCCTGTGAAAGCCGGGTCACGGATTAAAGCTCCATCTGTTGCCATAGCACTGTTTTATGTGCTGTAACCTGCAGTTTGTTACGTGGAGGGACCAGATGAGACACCAGTGAATCACTTTGCATTATTGTGGAGTGTGTGAGTGAGTCAGTATAGGTAGTGTTCTGAGAATTTTCATACAACTGTGTCCAAGCGTACGCCCTCACTAGTTAATATTTCTCTTCTGTACAGAACAAATGCCTTAAGGTGTTACACTCCCAAAAAAGCAGCAACTTTCACTTGCCAGACATTCCAGAAGTGTTTGTGGGGCCTGGGATAATAAATGAAAATATAAAGTAAATTAAAAAAAAAAAAAAATCATCTGGCTCAGAAGGTTTGTCTGCCAGTCATGTTACCAAAGAGACTCTAAGTGGAAGATGCCTGTAACATCCGTTCTAGGAAAATAAGGGTAGTGTAAAAAATTCCTATTGGCATAAATGTAAGCCTGCAGAGATGTTGGTTTTTTTGTTTTGGTTTTGGGTTTTTTTAAATTATGAATGGGTTTTCTAGCAGAAAAGGGGGGTTCTTTGAGTGATAGTAATTTGTACAAAGTAGAAAAAAACTAATGGAATATCAAACTGAAAATCAAGTTAGAAATGTAAAATTTTTATTTATGATGCCATAGCCCTCTGACACATTTTCAGCACCACTTTGTGGGGTTGTTCAGAATAACAATTTTGGCAAAATCTCACATAGATAAAAATAATATAAAATAAAAATACAATTTCTAAAGAAGAAATATTTCAAAATAATACGTAAACACTTGTTATTCTGTCAGGATTATATTCTGTACCTGGGAATAATTGATATTTTTATTTCCCTGAAATAACAAGAATAGTTTTATATTTTATTTGTGCAAACTCATGTGAAACAAATTTTTAGCCAGGGTAAGCCAAAGAAGAAGCTTGACTCTTTGAAGCTTCAATACCTCTTTCAGTGTCTGACTGTGAACCAAGAATCTGACAACAAATTCCAGCTTGAGTGTTTCAATTTTCCACTGTTTGCATCTGAGGTCCTATTTCAGGCCCAATTTTGGCATCTAAAATAAATACATGAGACAGTAAAGGTAAGGGTGTTTCTAATGGGCTGCAGGCCGGCTTCCTGCAGTCAGGCGGGAAAACCTGCAAGGAATGCTCTTTTCCATGAACTGCTATACCTTTTTGCCCTTGATTTTTGGGAACATTAAGAACAGCCCTTTAAGTGGGAGAGGAGAGGTATCTTGAATGAATGACTATATATCATTGCATCTTTCAGTATGAGACTAGGAAAAAGTCAAACCTCAATTCAGCATTACATTAGCCTGAGGGTTGTCTTCTAACGCTTGCCAGATGCACCTGCTTTATCCTAATCTCCAAAAAATGATGCTCCATGTATCACACATTGAATTTTGTTCCCTAGGAGGAATAAAGGGAATCTGAAACCTCCTCTGTCTGCTCCTCTCACCACCACAGCTGGTGCACATTGTGCACCCTTTTTTCCTTTGGGTGTATACTTTGCATAGTATCCATAAACAGCCTCTCAATATTATTATAAAAACTATTACATACATTTCTCTGGGCAAATCTTTTCTAGCACCTAGATTTGAAAGGTCCTCTATTTAGTATGTTGCCCTATAAACCAATGGGGCCTGATGGGATTCATCCAAGAATCCTCAAAGAACTCCTGATTTTCAAGAAGGGCAAGAAGAAGAACTCTGGAAACTGCAGGCCTGTCAGTCTCACTTCAGTGCCTGGTAAAGTTATGGAGAAGATTATTCTGGGAAGTACTGAAAAACACCTGAAAGACAACACAGTCATTGGTCACAGCCAGCATGGCTTCAGGAGAGGAAAGTTCCTGCTTCTCAAACCTGATTTTCTTTTATGGCAAGGCAACCCACCTAGTGGATCGAGGGAAGCCAGGTGATGGAATCTTTTTAGCTTTCAGTGAAGCTTTCAATATCGTCTCTCACAGGATCCTTCTGGACAAAATGTCCAGCTCACAGCTGGATAAACACATCAGGTGGTGGGGGAGCTCACAGGTCGAGCACAGAGGGTAACAGTGACTGGGGCAACATCAGACTGGTGACCTGTCACTAGTGGGGTTCTGCAGGGCTCCATCTCAGGCCCTGAGCTCCTCAACATCCTCATAAATGACTTGGGCACAGGACTGGAAGGGACACTGAGCAAGTTTGCACATGACACAGAACTGGGAGGAGCTGTTGACTCCCTGGCAGGCAGAGAGGCCCTCAGAGAGACCTGGACAAATGAGAGGGCTGGGCAATCACCAACTGTGTGAAGTTCAACAAGGGGAAGTGCTGGATTCTGCACCTGGGATGGATGTGTGGACAGACTGGGGATTGAGGTGCTGGAGAGCAGTGCT